TGATATTCACTGAACATTGCTAGGAATGCTGCTCTCCCTGTTCTTTTCTGTCCTCTTCAGTTTGTTTGTCTTCATTTCATCAGCTTCCTCCTTTCCTTTCCTTTCCTCTTATCATCCCACCTCTTTCTTTTTTTGATGGCTCCAAACAACACACTAAAATTAATATATTTAAGTGCAAACCAAACTACCCTTTGAAAAAGTTGCCTTATTTGTCTGTGTGATTGAGTGTTGCTGGTAACCTCCGGGTCCATTTTTTGAAACACTCTATTTAATAACTGTAAGCAACAACGTGATGCCCAGAGATCCAACTTTTATAAAATGATTAAAGCAACTGAATTAAAGGAGTTTAATGAGATTCACCCACCTGCTCCATCAGTCGGTGGAGGAGTCACTCTGCTTGTCCTGAGTGTGTCTTCAGAGAACTATCAGGGAGTTATTAATCCACTGTACCTGCTCTGTTTGTCCTCAGATATTGATGAGTGTGCAACCCAGATGCATTACTGCCAGTCGAACACGGTGTGTGTCAACCTGCCTGGCAGTCACCGCTGTGACTGTCTGCCAGGCTTCATCAGAGTGGACGAATACTCCTGCACTGGTACGTCTGCATGCAATCGAACACAATGAGTCATCGGTTCTTATTACATAATGGCACACACATAACTGAAATACATATTTTAAGGGAACTGAAAGAGAAAACTGTGTGAGCATCACTGGGCTTATCATGTCAAACGACTTTAAGAAATTAGAACGTCCAGGGGCTCCATGGAAAGGAGGAATTTGAAAGCAAAGCTGCTGCAGTCAGATTGCCAGCTATCGGGCTGCTTTTTGTTTAAAAAAAAAATGCTGAACTGAGAATATGGCTATCCAAAGTGATGTGTAATGGCACTGTTGTCTGTTGGGCACTTTCCCAGTGGCTACTGAGCTGGAAAAATTCTCTCCCTTTACTTTTGCTTTTCCCTTTCATTATTGTTTTCCAAGTTTTTTGCTTCACTAACAGTGATCCTCTAGGATGTTAATTTTGTTTGCTTGCTGTTTGCCTGAAATACATACACAATATTGGATTGTTTTTCATTAAATGTGGTACAGAGACTCATTGAGAGTGCAGAAAATGAATCCCAATTATCATAATCCTTTGACTTGGCACAGAGAGGTGCTGAAACTGAGTTTTATCACAATTAAAACAGTGCTGTCACAGCAATGGCATGTTCAGCTTTACATCCATCAAGGCAGTTAGTTGTAAAGAAAGTTATGACACCAAGTCAGAGTCAAGATGTTTCATCTTTCATGTATTATCAAATTCATACTCTTCATGGGACAATGTAAGAAACTGACTAAAACTACCACAGTGTTGTACAACTCCACAGAAAGACAGGAATATTATCATCAAAAGTATAAAAATGAAAACTACCATGCTACTGGATCATTATCACTGATGTAATAATGTATGTTCATTTATATTATTACTACCCTTTATACTGTTGGGCATTTGAATCCATAAAATGCATCAAATTATTATAAGCTGTTTTTGAATGTAATCTATGAGTCCCTGATGCATATCCTATCTATAGCTGAAGTACAACGCTGCAGTAACTAAGTACATTTACTACAGTAAACGTAGTACTCTGTGATGCTGTGGCTTTTGTTATCTGAAATTAGAGCATGCAGAGAAATGAATGCAAACTGATTGGTGAATATCCTGGCATCTACCTTTTAAAAGAACCAGTGATTGCAGCAGTTTTTTAATGGCTCAGCTTCCATAAATATTCAGATTTAAACTATTCTGCTTCCTCTACATCACTGACCTTCTCAAAGCTGAATGTCAGAGCAAAGAATGGAAACATTTTCACCAACATATTTACCTGCCTTTAACAACACAATGTAAATGTTATGCCTAAGGTTATCTCTGTGGATCTTAAGCTATTTCTCAATATACAGTCCAGTAGCAGTGGCACCTGTTCTGGCATAGCTGGTCTATAATGTTTTACAGTGTTTAGAGCAGCATGTTTTCTCGAGAGTAAATAGGATGTGCTTGGCTGCTGCTCAGTGTTTCACCAGAGAAGTGTTCTTTAATTAGCTCAGAGCTGGCAACGACACAGGGATAGGGATCCATGGACAATCAATCTATTTTGCAGCTTGTAAACTGTCCTGACTGCTGACTGGGAGCCCAAGGAGCACTCTCTACATCTGCTGGGAGAGATAAATCTTTTTTCCCTCTTTCCATTTCTCCTTCAGCTTCTTCTTGAGGGTTCCAGATCCCTTGCATGAATGTAAAACAGAATTAACATTCACGGCACAGGGAGTTGACTACTCGTATTTCACAGCTTTAACACGATTGCCCATTAGCTGTTGTAATTGGCGCATTGTGCTCAAATCTACATTGTTATTCTTCATTGTGTTTGTAGATCTGAAAAGGTTTATTTTTTGTAATAAAATTGTTGTCCCTGCATCAAATAGGACACAGGACAAACCAGTTTGTATTTAAACAAAGAAAATTTGCAGGATCTTGGAGCATTCTATTAAGTGAATAAAAAGTTGATTTAGGAACTTGTGTTTGGAATTCATCTTGAGTGAGATTAACTTCAGTGTGTGGAGCTGTTGAGTTTGAATTATTAATCACACTGAAGGGTATGCACTGATGTCCCTTTGTTCTCCCCATATCGGTGAGTGGCCGGAGAACCTGCAGTGGGTGCTGTGAATTGGTAGGTCTGCATTAACAGAAAGGAACCAGATGTGTATGTTGAAGCTATTAAAATCCATACTAATTGTCAGTGATCCCATCTAGTATACCTTACATTTACTGGTCAGAGATGCTGAAATGTGGCCAGATAGAGAATTTCCTAACAGATATACGATAGCTTCAGAAATCTTGCAGATACCTTTACTTTTTGCACAGTTTGTGTTGTTTGTTTAATTTAAAATTAATAAAATTGTCATGTTTGCTCCATCAGTATGAGAAGGCATTCACTGTGGTTGCCTGATCTGACTTTAACTAGCTCCCTTTTAGAAATGGTCTGCCTGTATTTCTAAAAAAACAGACGGCTTTTGATCGTGTACACCCTTGTGATGTATTTGAACACAATGATTTATAAGTTGTTGTTTTTTTTCGTACAATGTTGGACTGCCAGAGTAATTTGAGCTCTGGGAAACACCATCTTTTTATGGTTTCAGTTGTATCATATGCTGGAGATTGTAGGTGGATTGCTTGATTGACAGGATGGTCTTTTTGAAAATGATCATGTTTACTGAAAGGGGTATTATGTGTTTATTTTCATGTAAGCTTTTCTTGTACTAATAATCTGCAGCGCTGGGGTACTTGTCAGGAATAATATGTTACATACTGTAAGTTACAACATTACTTTCTAATGGCTAACTTTTTTGTTACTTTTACATTACTCTCTCAAAGCATCCCCAAGTCAGACTTGGTCTAATATATATTATTATGCTCCATTTACCAAATATCAGACATTTGACATGTTTTTCATAACTGGTTGACAACGTAGTCAACTCCAGTGTTATCACAGCCTACACAAAAATTAATGTGTCTTACTCACAAGCCCTTAAACTAAACCATCTGCATTTATAAACAAAAGTACCTGCTGCTTTTGAAGCCTCTTTTTACAACTTAGGCTAGCTAGCTAACAAGTCACCTACCCATGTTTTGACTTGGTCAGAATGTGGCTAATGAGCTTTCTGAAAGCCAGGGAGCCTCTGTTGATATTGGCCGCACATCCTCCACTACATACTTGGCTACAAGACACCTTGGCTCCTTCAAAGACACTGTTTTTACCAATGACAGTGGTTGCAGCTTTTCCTGCTTTGAAACTTCGTGTTGCAAGGAGACTATAGCATCTGAGAGTTTGTTCCTGTCTTTTCTCTGCAGGCTAGTTTGTGTGCTGTCGTGTCTCTGTGGACATCAGGCAGTTTGTGCTACTGTAGCTTCAACTGAACAACAAACAAATTTACGCTCAGTATTACAATGTGAGCAGCTCCTCCTTCAGATGAATAAAATGTTACCTATAGCGCTTTTACACAGGGCATCATGTATCACCTTTTCCTCTCTCTCTCTCTCTCTCTCTCTGTCTTTCCCTCTCCTGTGCCTGATGGAGTAGCCTGTCCTTTGTGAAGACAGTGCCCTGTAAACAATGGGATGCTGCAGTAATTGTGGTTCCACTTGGTTTCATCTCTAGGAAAGCAGGCACCTTTGGGGAAACAGGAGATGGACAGAGAGAAGAAGGTTCTACACCCCACCTTCCCAGAATGCCACTGAGCTGTTGTCACATCCATATTTATGCAACCTAAATCAGTTCATGGTTCAGAGTTTGTCCAGGATGACTTTCTGCTACTATTACTATTACTAACTATTACTGTCACCATTTAAATTAAATTTAATGAGAAACAGAAAATGGATGAGATTGTCAAACCTGTGTTCAGGCTAACAAGCCCAGCTTTTTGTTTAAATGTAATCATTTCAGAGGCAGTCACACTGCCTAAAAAGCAAGGTCTTTCCTTGTGTACCTCTGATCACCATCAGTCTCAGTCTGCATTATTTGATGATACATCAGTTTTATTCTTTGTTCAAAATAAACACTTCAATTCTGATGCTGCAACACATTCCAAAAAAGTTTGGACGGTTGCATTTCAGGGCCAGTAATGAGGTAAAACAATGAAATGATGATTCCATGTGAAACGGGTGACGTCAACAGGTGACTGCATCATGATTTGGCACAAAAGTGGCATCCAGGAAAGGCTGTACCTTTTACGAGCAAAGATGGGCCGAGGACCGCCAGTTTGCCAACATATGCATGAGAAAATTACTGAAATGTTTAAAAACAATGTTCCTCAAAGAAAGATAAGAAGGGATTAGGATATGTCACTCTCTACGCTGCAGAACATAATTTTAAAAATTCTGAAATATAGGGTTATTTCAGTGCATAAAGGGCACAAGCCTAAACTGGATGACCGTGCTCTCTGATCCCTCAGACAGCATTGCATCAAGAATTGTCACTATTCTATAAACAATATAACCACATGGGCTCAGGATTACTTTGGCACACCTGTTTCAGGTACTACAATATGTGGTTACATCCATACATGCTGCTTATAACCGTATTGCACTTAAAAAAAAAAGCCCTATGGCAACAGTGTCCAGCAGCACAGTTGACTGCTCTGGGCTCGGAGGCATCTGTGATGGACATCACACAGTGGAAATGTGTATTGTAATCAGGCAAATCAGTGTTTCAGGTCTTTTTTGGAAGGAATGGACACCTTGTGCTCCGGACCAAAGACAAAGAGGAACATCTAGAGTGTTACCAGCATCAAGTTCAAAAACCAAGGTCTGTCATGGTCTGGGGTTGTGTCAGTGGCCTGCACCTCTGTGATGGCGCCATTAATGCTGAAAAACTGAAATTTTGGAGCAACATATGCTGCCTTCAAGATGTCAACTTTTCCAGGGACATTTATGCACATTTCAGCAAGACAATGCAAAACCTCATTCTGCACATTACCAAGGCCTGGTTGTGGAGGAAAAGGGTGTGAGTGCTGGACTGGCCTGTCTGCAGTAGAGAATGTGTGGCACATTTTGAAACACAAATTGCA